TGAAAACAGTCATAGTAGTGGCTTAGATAGTTATCATGTCATTACGCTTTTTTTCTCTTCACGCACGAATTCGTGGATTTGGAGTGAGTAACGACGACACTTGATGAATTATCGAAACACAATTTATTAGCCCGTATTATTCAAGAAAGCTCCAATAATACGTTTACAGTCGTCGAAGAACTACTATGAACACGCTGAAACAATCAGCGACACAGCCTCCAGGCTATCAGGCTATAATGGTGGTAGTGGTATCAGTCTTCAAAGCGATGCACCAGAGTACAGGTTTTGACTCAGCTCGGTCGTTCTCGAAACTCTACATACTCTCGAAACTCCGCTACAACTCGAGATGCAATGGAGGATACACTAGAGAACAGCTCCCGACTCCTTGGTTCTGTCATTCCCGGAGATCAACACACTCTAAGATCAAACTCGAAGATACAACTAACTCGCGATACACTAAGAGACTCCCTCGATGCACTCGACGATCAACTCGGCGCTAGACTACGGGACACTCGCTCACTGACTATTAACTGTCTCGACTAGGCTCTCACTGGCTGACTATCAAGTCTCTAGACGAGACACTAACTCCGCACGAAATCGCGATCAACTGTCCGCGTACTAGCAGGGTTTATGTATGTTTTTGGCTTTGTTCGAGAACGTTCTGGGCTAAACGAGTAAGAATTCGTTCCAGAAGGTTCTCCATCCATCTGTGGCATATCTATAATTTTGTCGCCAAATGAGTGATTTTTCGCCAAATGTGGTAACCCTGCCTTCTCTTGCCAATTTCTGGCAACCCTAAATCTGTTTTGCGGGGAAGCTATCTTACCGCGCCTGGACATTTCGTAACAATATTAATTAATGCACCTTATTTTGAAATTTGGTGGCCTAATTTAGGGCTGAATAAGACTGATGATATTAAATTAATATTTGCAACGAATTGAATAGTGTCTATTATAAAAAAATGCCTTTTCTTACCTTGAGCAAAAACGCGATGGTCGTTTGAAAGCTCTTTTTTTACGAACTTTTATTTATGAAATATATTCTATCTTATTATGTTTCGTTACACAAGTTCAAAATACGTTTATTTTCAAAAACACACAAAAAGTCCTGAATGACGAAAATGAATAGAAACATACGAGAGGGAAAATGAATTCTAATAGTTTCAACAGTATAAAATCGTAAGCAACAGCACTAATAAAAAATAGTTTCTTTAAAGCACGTGCTAAGTAAAATACCGTCTTGGGATTTGGAAAACAACGCCCAAAACAATGGAAGCTCATTATCCTAATGAAAGTTTTCTGGACATTAAAGTGAATGGAGTTCTGCTCTTTTACAGATGAAAAGAATGCTTCAAGAGTTTATAATTCTAAAGCTTTCAGAAACATCTTATTATTTCACTAGGGGTAGTGATTACTTTTGTTGTCATTATGCACTTTTCACTGTACGTTCAAGATTAATTAAAGAACTCGGTTTAAAAAATTAAGTATATTTTTGTACATTTTGTATTAACAGAGCTTTTTTTATGCAATAATTTCTTTGAAAAAAGTAGCCTTAGGTAATTTTGCATTTCTTAAAAGAAAATCAGATGAAAGAAATCCAATCTTATAATCACACAGAAGACGCTTTTATGAACGCATCATTTTAGTGTTCACTGTTTTTAATTAGGTGAAAGTTATGTAATTTCTTCTAACAACGTATTATTTCTGTAAAGAAATTTCAACACGAATCATTCACTCATTAATATCTCTCTTCTTGATTTGCGAATTAATTACACTATGTTTTTTTTCAAAATTAAAATAAAAAATACTGACATGATTTCTTTGTATGGTCTATTAAGTCATGCACATTTTTTGCTGCACACCATTTAAATTTCATTTAATATTTATTACCTCGAATTTCATTAAAATTATATTTCTCATTCAATCAATTCAGTTCTCATTCCGCGGCAAGGCAGAAATACATAAAAACTCAAAACGTCTTCATTAAAAATTCTAAAACGCAGGAAAAAAATACACGTAAAACAGTTTTTTTTTTACAATTAAAATTAGAGTTTTTACAATTAAAATTAGAGTTTCAACAAGCAAATCAAAACAAGCAATTCGGCCCGCGGGCAGGAAAGGAGATTTTTTGGTGCACAAAACTGAACTGAAAGTTTACTTTTGGTCCTATTCGTCAAAAGCACACTGGAGTTGGTGAGCAAACTTATTTAATTCACTATTTTAATAATAGTTTCAAATGTAAACAAATGGCGGCTTCGTTAGGCTTAGTAGCATTTAAACAACTTTAAAATTGTTGATTCTACATCTGTTGTATGCAGATTAACTAAAAGCACAAAAACCTTAAACGGAACATAAGCACAACCTAATTTAATCAATTTTAAAGGAAAAAAAAATATAAGAATAAACAAACTGATACGAACGGTAAGTGGTTACGTTAGAGGACCGAGGGTGGTTTAATGAGCACAAAACCTTTAAACGGAACATAAGCACAACATTATTTAATCAATTTTAAAGGAAAAAAAAATATAAGAATAAACAAACTGAGCTCACCGATACGTTAGAGTGGTTAGGGATCCTACTACAGTACCAAAGGTCCCGGTTTCGAATCGAGAAAACGGCATGGATGCTTATAAATATATAGTGTCTTTGTGCCTTATGGGCGCTTTTAATATAAGTCGAGTTGAAAGTCCTCTTGTGAAGTTTGTGGTAGAAGAGGAGTGAGAAAACCTCGGATAAGTCCCCTCCAGGGTGCTGTCCAACAAAATTTGGGTTGAATTAAGCGAGGTCGTACTATTACCTATATGATACTCAAGGTAACATAAAATGGCCTATTTGAGTTGGCTCAAATATTTAATGGCTCGTTTTTACCGTCGGCAAGTAAAATGGCTAAAGCCAGAATACTTTTTGCCGCAGCTAGCAATAGGACGAAAACTGCAAGCGAAGCTGCCGAAAGCCCTAATACAAAAATATTTAAAACCCTCGCCTTATATTCTCACGCTACTAATTTGCATTTTTATAAGGTCCACTGATAGAAGTAGTTTCACTAAGTATTTAAATCACAATAATTCGTTAATTAGCTTATAAAATCCTTACAGAGAGAGATGAGTTCATGAATACACAAAACTTATAAAAATATAAGGATAAATAGCAAACATATATTTTTAGAAAAACGTACCTTTTAATGGAAAAAATCTGAATATTATTAATTAACATATTTCAAAAAAAGAGGAACAACTACCAGTATTCCTAACAAACTGTATATATCAGTTTCAAGGTTTTTACATAAAAGTTGCTTCGAACTGCAAAAGCAACTGTTACTAAGCAAATTAATATGCTTATACTTAATTTACATCTTGTATAAATTATGGAAAAAAATCACTTAAATACTCTTCATATTGTGCGGGCGGATATGCGTCACCTTTACATATGCAAAACTGTTGAAACTGGAAAATGTTAATCTAAAATAATCAGTTTTTACGTGGGTTCTAAAATGAAAGCTTTTAACCGTTTCTTTGTATAAAGGGAAGTAATTAATTTTTGCATATTTTAATAGCTATCACTGCATAAAATATGAATGAACTTTTGAACTTTTTATAAGGAATGATTGGATAGTTAAAACTTAATTTTTATTGGTAGACGTAAATCTTTAAGTTGTGTGCACTATTATTAAAAGTTGCCACATGCCCAATATTGTTATAAAATGAATGTTTTACTTTATGTGTTTCAGTTCTTTAATTGAAACCAAGTGTTTAAATAATTTCTCAAGAATTACTTATTATTAAAATTGTTTTGTAATTCTCATTTTGCTTTATAAGAAATACAATGGATGTTTCTTGTGGGTTTTGTGGATGTGGATTGATTAATGAAAATCTAACCAGACCTAGCTGCATTAAAGTCGACTGCTTTCTTTGAAATTAAATAGAAAAAATTATTCCATATCATTTATATTTGTAACAAAAATGTATAATGTTTAAATATTTATGTCTGAAACATATTAAAAATTACTGGAATTAAAATTTCTTAAACTATGGTTAAAATATATTTTTAACAAATATATTTCTTGATGAAGATCTTCTTCTTAACTCGTGCACGGTAAAATCGTCGTAATAGGGCTCCTAGCTGGAAACGGTAAACACTGTAGGATCTCTCTTACAGCATAGCCCGATAAATCGAAATACAGATGATTAATTGCTACTGCTGGATGAGGAAACAAAACTCGTACCTCTGGAATTCACAGTTTTGTCGGTGACGTACATCACTCGGCCATCGTTTTAGAGAATAGAAAATGAGTGGTTTCTATACACCTCACTTGATATCATTACTCCTTCCCATTCTTATCTGACTCTGATAAAATCTGACTCTGCAATAATGGATTTTATAATAATAACGATTCTTGGACTAACTGACATACTTGGAAACAGACAAAATGTTATTCGATGTTCTGGCCATACATGTAAATTAATGTAAAGGAATGAAGCACGAAATTTCATGTATATGTATATCATATACAGATAATATCATTTTAAGATTATGAATAAAGATTTCTAATCAAAGGAATGTACTATTATCTGTATTTCTTATAGGATGCGATGTAAAATAAGTGATGAATTTTATAATGGTATTAATGTCTTGATGACTTTTTGACAAAGGTAAATTTCATCAATTTAACCTTTTACTTGCGATTATTTTTAACATCTGTTAGTTACTATTTGCAAGTTCCATTTTTTTTTATTCAGCGAATAATGATGATGTATACTGAAATTGCATTCAAATCTTCTCCAGAGTTTCTTTGTTAATTATAATTTGTTGTTGCATTACTATTTTTTAAGCATTTTGATATCCGCAATCAGTCTTACTATATCTTTTCTAGCCAAACATGACAAAATCAGATGATATTGCATTCCGTTTCATCTTTCCATGACTAATCAATTTCACAATATGCATTGGCTATATGTCAAGACTGTTAAAAAATCTCAAAACTGGTTTGTTTTTCTATTGCAGGCCCTCCAGAAGCTTTGCAAAATTGTACTCTCGTCAACCATACAGAAAACTCCATCCAGGTGGAATGCATAGAAGGTTACAACGGAGGCTTACCACAGTTATTTACCATTGAAGTGTATGATGTGGAAATGGGAAAACTGCGGTCAAACGTCACTCTAGGACAGCCAGCATTCATCATTCAAGGTTTACCCAGCAGTACTGCATTGCATTTGGTGCTCTATGCAAGCAATGGCAAAGGAAGGAGTCCACCATACACATTGTCTGCTACAACGTTACAGCGAGCTGAGAAGTTAACAGGTATGTGTTTGGAATTCTACTGTGTACATCTGTAAGCAACAGGATACGATTGTATGATATTACATAGTTGAAATAAAATTACTTACATTTTTGAAGGAATAGATTAACATTCCTTTCTATTTGATCCTAAGCTTTCAGGGAATAAATTTCAACTTCGTAAAGAATTTTCTTGCTGTAAATATACCTTATTATGCGTAGTCTTCAGAAAAATTACTCATAAATAAATTTACTTATTGTATCAATTTTTAAAAAAATGTAAAGTTCTTTGAAATTGCTTGACTATGTTGTTTATAGTTTTTTTTTTTTTAAATTAATCTTCTTATCTTTAATTAAATCTTCAAATTAAATAATTATCCCTGTAGTCCAGAATAAAACAGGATTATCTTTTAAATTAAAAGCACATAACTATCACACATTTAATAAAATACGTTTCTAGAACTGTTTCTTTATATCAAATGATGTGCAGCGAAGTCTAAAAAAATATTGAAAACGATTCGAGAGAAAATACTGTATTTTTTTCCAATGGTGGGCAGTTGCCCAATCGGCACTGGCCACTTCTAAGGCCAGAAATGGTGGCCATTTTATTGTGGAGGCACCTAATAGGCAGCCACTGTTACCTCCTATGAAGGGACAGACAATTTTTCATCCATGCCTTCTTCGATATTCGAAAACGGGCCTTTAAATATCGCAATCAGGCTTCCCTCATCACTATACCGTCTGAGCGGAAAAAACATTCTAACAAAAAATCCTTGCAATCAAATATCTCAAAGCATTTAAGTAACACACAGCTGAAATATAGCAAAATATTATTAAAATATAATATGCATATGAATTATATTCATAAATCGCACTGTCACCAGCTAGGCGCTCAAGGCTGGTGCCAATGACAGCAGTTATCTAGCCTAGCCCTTCTTGCTCCGAGGAATTTCATGAGCTTGAGTTGACCACGTCAGACAAGTAAGCATCAGCAAAAACAACAAAATTAGTAAAATTATTATAATATAGTAAAACGTATATTCGTAAAAGTACTATGATATAGTAAAACGTATATTAGCAAAAGTACTATGATATGTAATGTTAAATGCTCATTTGAAATAAATTCAAAATACTTTGCCACTAAAAGTTCATTTCAAAACATTATCACAGTACATTTACGAATGGCCCATAAGCATAAATTAAAGCAATTCCATTGATCTTTTACTCCCTTTCTTCTCACTCAGCGTGTTATTAAGTCTCACAACGATCCAAAGTATAAAGCCTTTTTTATACATAAGGAAATAAGGACAACGAATTCAGAGCAGTTAGTCCATTGATCGAAGACGAGGAATTAACAGTACACATGTTATCCATTAGGTGCTTGGACGATGAAGTCAAGGGAAATCAATTGAAAACGTAGGGTGATTGAGGGTCTCGCGTCTGGAAGAAAACGACAGAACGTGATGCAGTTCCTTTCGATTGCTCTTATAAATGTAGAGAGAGGCATATACTACAAGGATACTGTAGAGAAAATCGATGCAACTGGTACGACAGCGAAAAGTGGATTGTGAGACATGATGACTAGTCTCTGAAAATCTGGTAACCTTTTCGTTATTAAGAAAGAAGGAAGAGAATGCCAAAGTATAACGTTGCCTAGTTTTATTTTTGGTTAAATTCATTAAAAAGTAGATGAAAACGTAATATGCGAAATTTAGGAATCAAATTCATTCATCAGTAAAAAGCATGTGTTAAAAAATGCTTGATTTTCGGTTAGAATAAACGAACATAACATTTGAGAAAATTTGCTTTTGAGAATTATAGTTTTTTACAGGAATGTGGAAATTCATTATCCCAGACAGACGCTGCATAGGAGTAATAGGTTGAAATGATTTCTAGTTAAATATTTTGTATCTAATGAGTTGCAACAGTTATAGTAAAGGAAAGTTAAAAGTTGCTTTGTTAAAGATAATAGTATTTCGTGTTAAGAGTGTAACTGGAAGGTATACCTATGAATATAAGTAGCATTAAATTCAGTGTTGACCGTGAAAATTACTTTTTGTCTACCTCGTTCCGACACGACAATTAGCCAGAAATTAATTAATTTCCATTCATTAGTTAGTATATTCAAAATTTTCACAGAAGTTTTCACTCACATAAGAACTCCGCAGCAAACCTCCCTCCAACATTCCTAGTCCCTCCCATGTCCCAAAAATAGCTTCTCCAAAGTTTCACCGCCTGTAATAATTCAAAGCATCCCCACTGCCGATAACGGAATTTCGGACACCCCCCCCTTTCTGAGTAAGACACAAAAGACAACACTTTACCGACATCCCACTAGAAAGGACGTAAGCTAATTAATGCATTTCCTGACCTTTTATATTTTCATGTACATTTCACATTTTACTTTCATACTATATATATTTCAATTTTTTAACTTTTATTTGATTTGTTTTTGCAATGATAGCATAGTTATGTTTCTCATATTTATGTCAATTACTTTGAGTGCTATTTCATAATTCCAGTTAAGATTACTACACTTTATTATGTTTATTTTTATAAAAAATAGCCTTGATTGAACATGCATAAAAGCGAAGATGTCGGGGGACATTTACTCAAGTAACTTGTAAATTTCACTACATAAATTGGCTATTCACTCAAAATTTGTAAAGAATCTTGTATTAGCGAAAATGCTTCATTCAGAATGAGTTCTTTGATACTCTACTTTGGCCATAATCCAATCACTTCACAGAACAACAATTTTGGCCTACTTTAATTTGTAAGTTTGCCATCATCATTCTTACTTGAGTAAAAGAAGAAACACCTTCGCATTTATTAATTATTGTTCATTGAACGGGAGTTGATTTGTTCCCCTTGAAAAGTCAACTAATTTCCGATCAATAGCGATAATTACTTATTTTTTACATTCTTTTAAAAAGTTTGAAATTTTGTTATTTATTATTTAAATTCAAGTCTCCTTAAAAAGTTTTGCATGATTTGCGTTCAAATTCCTTTAAAACATAATTTTCGGAATTAAACTTCCGACATGTGAGTTCCCTCTTTTTGATACGTTCTACTAAATTTATATTAGGAGATAATATAATCAATATTTCTTTAGTCAATAAATTATTATTATCTTATTTTGCAGCTAATGCGCAAGTATTAGAATAACTTGTTTACGAATTCAATGAATTTTAGATCATTCAATATATATATTCATATATATACATATGTACAAATGGAAAATATGGAAGATAATTTAGCGATAGCTCTTTTCATTTTTCATTTTAACTTGGCTACTTCTCCTTCCTGGTCTGAAGCTATTAATTGTTTATGATATATAAATAAAAATGCACATCATGCCGTATTTTGTTGCGCGTATTGCGGATATTATTTATTCAATCACAGATCAACAAGTCAGCAAAGGACAGACGCTATATTGCTGCGAAATGCCCAGGTGCGGTGAGATAGTGGTGTTAGGATTGCCAGAAAGGGCAGGGAATGGCAAGGCCGCCAGAATTGGCGCGAAATTGCCAATTTGATGATAAAAATGGCGATATGTTATAGATGGAGCAACAACATTTTAGAACGAATACTTAGAATATTCTTGAAGGTAAGTTAAAGCTATATATACCTCGCCTATACGCAAACTAAGAGTATCCTTGAATTTCGTAGCGTAGGAATATTTTGAGTTCAGAGATTGAGAGCCATCAATTGAGTCAGGAGATGTACTTTAGTGTTCTGCGTGAAGCTGTCTTTACGGTTAAATGCTGGAACTTACTGGCGAATAAATTGTGTTTTGATCCTTCATCAAGTGTTATGATCAATTACTCCAAGTACACGAACCCATAGAACACAACAATATATATCCGCTTGCTAAATGCCCACGTACGTTCTCGCTTTCCTCTTAGTTTGTCAGCAACATAGAATTTCCTTGCTGACTCGTCTATTGCCTAAAGATATGAAGATGTTATAAGGTAATTGCAACTGTGGGGTGCAAATTGCGCTCATATTGATGTGTGAATCAATAATTTATTCCCTAAAAATAAATTATATTGTGTTGCCTCTGGTCACGTCTGTCTTCAAGTGGCATTCGTGTAACTACACCTCTCCAAGTTATTACAACGTAGAGAACCATAGAGAATCTATTGCAGCTATTCCCAAATCACCATATTACAGGTGTAAATATAATATGTAATATGTATTCAAATTTATATGTATGAATTAAGTATATAATGCTTTAGCAGATATTATGGGTTCTATATTTAACATGAATCAAATCACGGAAAAATTAAATGGGAATGTATGCATCTGATTAAAACTGAAATACATTCAATTTTCAGATTAACCCCTTCGAGCCGGGTAGCGAAAACGCGCGCTTATCGCTGAGGCCGGCAGTATCTTACGCGAGCGTCTCTCCAGGGCCGGGCCCTTTTTTGCTACTAAGCCTAAATCCATGAAATTTCCGAAGTATCAACGCATTGTTTAATAATGCTCTATAGAGTATTTAAACGGCTTATGCTTTATAAATATTTATATATATATATATATATATACTTTAATTACCTTATTTCTTGTTTAAATGCATATTTTACACATTTTATTTTAATTACTCACCATTTTATGAATTTTAACATTATACATCTGAAAACTAAATATATTACTTAAAATTTCTCTTTTCGTATGAAAAAATTGAAAACAGGGACCTACACACAGTCCTACGTTACATACCTTGCACTCGTAATAACTCATTTGCCGTTTGGAGGATTTTTCCGGGAATGTGAACAAACGAAAGCATCGTCGTCTCATTTTCTTATCAGTCTCTTCTGAACCAAAGTTTTAGAAAATGTCTTTCAGTTAATCTTTCAGAATCAATATCAGAATATCAGAATTTCAGAATCAATATCTGAAATATTTTGCATCATTTCTGCTATTTCATGCTCTGTTAAACATTTTCGACGCTTCGACATTGCAACGGTAAAAACAAAGAATTCACGTCTAACAAGATCTAATTATTTTCTAAAAAG